TCGCGCCAAGAAGAAATAAAAGCTGGACAAGAAACGCTCCAACAGCAACTCCAACAGATGGTAGTGGAGAAAAAGAAGATTAGAACAGACATTATGGAATTTAGATAGAAAATTGGAATCAAAATAGAAGATTTGAAAATGACAGTAGTAGCACCTGAAGAATCAAAGGATGAAGAAATGAAGGAAGTAGCTAATGAATTATCCGAGAAAGATCAAGCAATGAAAGATGAAACATCTAACAAAATAAGAGAAAAAGAACGAAAAGATGAAGAAATGAAGGATGGGAAAGAAGCTTTTGCTTCTCAAGTGCCTGAAGTTGAAATGAAAGAAAGTGATAATACTGTTTGTAAAGAATAACAAATAAAAGAAGTGACTCATAAAGCATCTAAAAAAGGCAAACAAATAATTCACAGAAATAAAGTTCCTGAAGTAGTGATGGAAGAAAGTGCGACTATTAAGGTAGTAGAAACTAATGGTGAAGTGACGAAGTCGCAGTTAGCAAGTATGAAAACCATTTGAAAATTCATGTGATGCAGAGATGGGAGAAGCTGATGTACAGCTTAAGCAGAGTGTCGCAGTATTCAACAAACTAAGGGTGTGTCTCATAAAACAAATTGTACAAACTTGATTCTAAACCAGGGTACTTCTGTTTGTAAAGAATCAGATCTTATTCATAACTCTCATGTAAAAATAAGAACTGGTTTTCAAGGAATAGAGGAAAATAAGCATGTGTCAACTGCTAAAAATACCAAAGTGAACTGTACACCTGATGTGAATAAACTACAATGTGGTGAGCAAATGTTTCAGATATTCCTGTGGATGAAAAATATTAAAGGACTGAATCTTCAGACTATGATATGCAAAACAGAAATACATCTGAGAATTGCAGGGAAAAGTAATTAACCAGGTTATAACTTGATGAAAAGCCTGAAAATTTGTTTTGAACTTTAATTTATATAATTTAAAACTGTTATGCGGTTAATTTGTGTACTGTAAATAGTATATATATAATATAATGTAAATAGTACAATACCATGGTCCTGTTTGTTTCTAAATTTGTAATTTTATGCACTCAGTTATTGATTTAGTATATCATATTTATTTGTTTGTTCGTACTGCCCGGGACATATAGCCCTAGGAAGGGGGCAGTGTTGCAAAATGCTCAGCTGCGGTGAGGTAGCTTCCTGCAAAGCACAGTTAGGACTGTCAGAAAGTGGCAGGGTTTCCAGATTTGCCATGAAATCAACCATTTGGTGAGATGCCATAGATAGAGTGAGAACATTCTAGAACGTATTCTTAATGGCTTCCTCAAAAATGTTCTTGAAGGAAGGTTAAAGCTATATATACCCTGCTTGTACACGGAGTAGTAGTATGTTGAGTTCGGTAGTAGTGTTTTGAGTTTAGAGATTAGCTTGAGTGCAATTGAATCAAGTTGGAAGCTGTACTTTAGTGCTTTGACTGTTATAGCCTGATGGCTGTGTTGCTGATTGTTTCAGTGTGTTTGTTATAATTTTTTTATGACTGTAACATGTATTTAGAACTGTCCTGTGTAACATTGACAAATAAATTGTGTTTTGATTCTTCATCAGGTATTGTCATCATTAACTCCAAATCCACGAACCTGTAGAACGCAACAATATACTACATTTTTTAAATGACTTGAATTATGTCATGTTTAATTTCACTTCATGCTTTTATTATCCACTGACAAACTATTTTTAGACTGGCAACACATTTGGCATCCTTTTGTAAACATATTTTCACCTTCTAATATCCACACATTTAACTGTTGTTTTACATTTTTTTAATAGTTTATTGATACACATGTCTAAAGGCTGAGTTAATGGCGTTAATACACCTAGAATATCAGCCATATCTGTATTACACTCTTTCAACAATTTCTTCATATTATTCATTAGATTCGTCCGAACCATGACCCAAACTAAAAGACTTTCTGTATTTTTTAAGGCAGTGGGACACTTTTGCCAGACACTTTTTATCCACAATTTCACACCATTTGGGAAATTACATTTCAGCATCATCTTTCTTTTAAAAATAACCATGGTTTTAATTTTGTTCAATCTACTAAGCAGGAAAGCACCATAGTGAGATGAGATTTTTCGATACTTTTATGTGAATACTTTATTTCCTATCATATCAAACATTTACTGGAGCTTCATCTATATTTTCAATATATGACAGTAAATATATTTTTTCCCCCTTCACAGGTTAATAACATACTTCTGCAAACATCATTTGTTGCCCAAATCTTTCGGAAGCCTTTGTTAAACTTTTTTTTTTTTTTTTTTTTTCTTGTAGAACTAAATTATTCTGTAATATAAATAAACTACATCAATTTAAAGCTGCTTAAAAGTGTTTACTTTCATTTGCATTCTGTTTTTGCCCACTTTAAGGCAAATAAACATACGTTATTTCTTAATCCATTTTGGCGATTATTGAGGACCGAGTTTGCAACACTTTCTTCTAAGATAAGCCATTTCATAACTCTTTTATGCAAAGCACATTTATTCTTTAGCATAATAATTACTGTGATGTTGTTTTCTTCCACTCATGTATGGAGCATTCACCAACACCAAACATCCTTGCTGTAATATAATTTCCATTTTGTTTTGCAAATTGAATGCTTCTGTATTTGAGAAAAGAACTGTGTTTGTTTCATTTGGCAGAAACCACATTTACTGCTAAAAGAAACACTAGATCAACTGTATGTCAACTAAAGCAAATGCAATACTACAGCCTTTGATATTTACTTCAAAATCATGGCTTCAAAGAATTACAGAAAGGGTAAATATATGACTCCTAATTCCACAAATTTATTTGGGTCAGAAATGCATTCTTACCCCAAATTATGTCCTTCTTTTCTCAAAGTCCTAGAATAACCTTATTTTGCACAGCAGTGTTAAATACAACCCACCCTCTTTGCAGAATTATTTACTTCCTCAAGCATTTCCCCCTCCATACACACTTATATCACTTGTAAATTCAGTACACCATTGTTCAAAAGCCTGGGAAACATCTTCAAAAGATAAGGGCATCACACATGTATCTTTCAAGTTTCTTTGCAAAGAAAAAGATGTGTGTTATATGTTGAGGGAGGAGGGAGAGATACAGAGAGAAGCAGTCTGAAATTATAGGTGTGCATTATACGCTGGAATATATGATAGTAGATCTAAAAGCTATAAATTTAGAACAAGGAAATGTTTATCCCTTTCAGTTTAAAATCAAAAGATGAGACAGAATGCATCAATCTACATTTCCATTCAATTTTTAAATTCTTTCAAGATTTCTTCCCAGTATCAATTTGACATTACTGGTTATTCAAAAGGCAACATTTCTCACAATCAGATTAAGTTTTGTAGAGTTCTGCTATGTCTAGAAGTTTAACTTAATGTCCTTGACTCTAATAGACAGACAAATGAGTTACTGCTCTAAGATGTTTCGAATTAAGACTACAGAGTCTTAAGACAGTAAAAATAACCTTTTCATTGAACTCTCGAAATTAACAGAACACACTGCTTGTGTTACTGATGAAACTTCATTACTTGCATGTATTTAAAATAACATAAAAGTGAGTTTAAATTCCAGTAATATAGCCTGACGATATACACAAAATAGTCTACTTAAGCTGGATCAAGTAATTAAAGGTGCGCTTCTAATGTAACAGTAAAAATAACCTTTTCATTGAACTCTTGAAATTAACAGAACACACTGCTTGTGTTATTGATGAAACTTCACCATTTGCATGTATTTAAAATAACATAAAAGTGAAAGTTTAAATTCCAGTAATATAGCCTGACACTATACACAAAATAGTCTACTTAAGCTGGATCAAGTAATTAAAAGTGCGCTTCTAATGCCAGGCCTTAAATAGGCTAAAGATGGAATAAACTTTGGCAGAGCTGGACGCAAGCAAGGTTGTCAGAAGCTCTAAATAAAACATTCAAACCCTCGGCTTAATAACTAATTTGCATTCTGGTAAGGAATACAGAAAGAAGATTCAAATTATAATAACTGGTTAATCAACATAAAATCCTAACTTTAACAGTTGATTTTTTATTATATAGTTTTAGAAAGGCAACATTAGTTTATATTAATGGCTTTCATCAATTATAACATATATATATACTTCGAATTCTAGTAATGAAGACTACAAATTTAAACTTATATTAACCTTACAACTATCCAAAGGTTTGGCTCCAAAAAGCTCAAAGCTTTCAAAATATGCCATCAAAACAGTTATTTTCTTGACCAAAATTCCAAAAATTATTTTATAAAAGAACTCTTTTTCTTCTAATAAACATTCCCAATAGTTTTAGACACACTTCAAGATGCATGTATACATAATTATTTGGAAGTGCCAGTAAAAATATTCATAGACGTATACATACAGTCTGGCTGGCTAAAGGGTTCAGTCATAGTTGCCAACCTTGAAATATGAAAACGCAGGTCTTAACATGGTGAAGCAAATTTGATACATAAATTTGACCAATTCATTTTACAATGTGATTAATGTGTAAAATATAAAAATTTAAAAACAGAATTCTTAAAAATTTTTTGGCTGCCTGCATTTAATTCTATAATTTTTTTTTAACATCTTGTAAAAATGAAATTCAAACAGGGTGGGGGGGGGAAAAATTTTATCAAAGTTTTTTTAAATACACTAAAAACAATGTACTATTCAGACATTTAAAGCAGAATTAAATAAAATTATATCTATTAAATATTACTAATAAAACCAAAAGATAACAAAAGTGTTGCTCTGTCTTTTTTAAGGAATTTTTACAAAACTTTTTTCATAGCATTTTCTTTTCTTGCAAAATTATTCATTAGCAATTATTCTACAACTGCATTTAAAATAGATGATCTAAATTCAGATAAATTAAATTCAAGACTTATTGGGAAACAGAATGAAAAATCGAGTCTCTCAATTTTACTGGAGGGTTGGCAGCTGTTTAAAATCATGATAAAAAATTTCTCACCTCGATCAACAACAGTTCGAATTCTATTAACTTCCATCTTGAATCTTTTCCCCAAATCTCGCCTATATAAATAGAAAGTGAAAAATATTTATGGATGACAGCTCATGAATATTAAAATATTTTCAGATTGGCAACAAAACAAAATATTCTATATTGCAAAACAAAATATTCTATATTCTAAAAGTATTCTATATTGCGATGATATTATTACACAAGAAGAAATCAGCTGCTATATGCTTGTAAAAAAGAGAAACTGGAATACATTAATAAAGAATCAGAAGTGATTTGAGTCATAAATTTTCTCAAACTGAAATACTAAAAGGTTTCCAAATCTCTTGATAATGTATTTATTAAAAGGCAAATTACTGAAAAAAACTGCCAAGAATTATAATCCAAGGTAATTAATTATCTCTAACTGAATAATAATAATAATGATAATCTGATAAAAAAGTTTTAGAAGATAAACTTGAGATCAAAGTAAAATATATTACTAGGTTCAATATTCAACAAAAATGCTAAATTGTAAAAAAATATTAATTAAGAATACTGAGTTCCCCTCAGTCTTTTATAGAAAACAAATGATAAATTCAACAACAAAAATGTCTGAGAATCCTAGCATCACAATAAAAACATATAATTTTGAGGCAAATTCTGCATTTTACTGATAATGAAATTTAAGTCTATGGTTTTCAGCCTTTATATGTTAAAAATATAGGCAAAATATAACTGAAAAACAAAGATTTTCACATGCATAAACAAGTTAATTAATAGAAGACTGGTAGTGGACAAAGATACGCTACACTCACAATGATTATTTTCTTAATGGTTCAACTAAAAACTTAAAAAGTATACTACAGACAAAAGTCTTTAATCCGGACTCATCGGGACTTCGGCGATTCCGGATTATCGATTTTTCCGGATTATAGATCATCAGTTTAAATCTGGTAAGATGGCAAGCAGAAATTATAAAATTAAAAATATGAAACCATAGTTTATAAAATAATGAGCAATTATGATCTAAAGAATATCAAAACTTACCAAAAAAAGCTTAATGTTTACTTTTAAAATTTTTTCAACGCGCCCATGTGTAAAGCATAATTGCGCAAAACGAAATTACAAAATTGCAACCAGAAATTATTTGAGTGTATCTGATATTTATATTGACGAGGAATTTGATTAAATATATCAAGTACATCGAGATGAAATACTACATTTAGTAAGGAAATAAGACGAATAAAATAAAAACATTTGCCCTGAGATGTGACAGATCAATTCCAGTTCATCGCGCCCGCGACGTCCCTCCCCACGCAGAGCAGCGTGAAATTGATAAACAGATTTCGGAATGGAGATAAACAAAGGATAGCCTTTATCCATTTTTGTAGAAATCCAACTTTTTTGATGGACATCGAAACATACTTTTTTAGATCCTTTGGGAGCTCCAGCATCGGAAATTCTATTTGACATAATCGAAAGTTCAGCTTACTTTTATAAAATGCTCTTACAGTCTGCAAAAAATAAAAAAGCCGGATCCAATTCGAAGATTAAGGAACAACGCAATCATCAACATTAACTGAAATAGATAATTGGAAATTTAGCTTACCGTCCGTCACATTAAACGGCACGCGAAAACGTATTCTGCGCTGCGCGACGCATATGCCAGTCCTAAAGTCTTCGCGACGCGTAAAACGCCTAGAGCATGATCAAAGCGGCGCATGCGAGAAAGCTTTTAGCTTAGAGGTCCGGACTATAGATCATTCCGGATTATGGGTCTCCGAATTAACGACTTTTGACTGTATAACACAGTTAAACCAAACATAAAGTTTAATGCAATGAGATTAATTAAAAACAGAGTTCCAAGAAAAGTAAGATAATGGCTATAAAAAGACATACAATTATTCATTACTGAGTACAATGAGGAAATGTTTGTCATAACAACAAAGATAAGCAATAAAACTGGAATGAAATTTATAGCTAATGTTGACTGTAATGGAACTATAAGCCACAGTGATTACATGGATCAGGGACTGAACTGATACGATAAAACCGAGGAGAGAATTTTTTTTTCACATTTGCTACATGTCACTGCATGAATCCTTGAGTTTGGTGTTACGTATTTTCTTCACTGAAAAAGATGAAATTCCAGAGTGAAATTTTTAATGAAAAGAAAAAAAAATGAATCAGTTTTTTTAAAAAATCTGAATGGCAGACATCATTGCAATTCATTAGTAAATAGTAAAACCAAATAAAGTTATCAAAATGAAATACAATATATTTTCTTTGGCCCCAAAATTTTATGTTTCCATATTACCTTACATTACTGTAATTCTGAATATTTGTGAAGATAAATTAAAAAAGATAAGAAATTGGACAGGATCAGACTGCTTAATAAAGAGTTAAAAAATCTAGAAATTATAAAATTAGCCCATGAAAAAGGATCACAATGCAATACAATTAGCCCACGAAAATTAAAAAATTACATGCAGAGTTGTGCTCCTATATCCATGGTTAATAACAGTAAAAAAAGTGTGCATTCACTTAAAAAATTACATAACATAATTACATAAGTAATCTCAGATGCAGCCTTAACTGTTTTCCCCAGCAATAGCAACCATGAAGATTAATCTCCAGAAGGAGTGTCATGAATACTTGCACGTATGCTTTGTGCAGATGTAAGATATTGTTGAAGACAGAGCAGTAGTTAAAAGAATAGAGCAATTGAAATTACATAAGAAAAAAGTTTGAGCATGAAACAAAAATTTCGAATAAAAAAGCGAACATTGCTATATTACAGTAGTTGGAAGTTACATTATCGTACACTTCTTTTGAAGAATTTACACAACTATTCTTTATAAAGTTGATACATATGTTTAATATTTAATTATAAAGATATTTTACAGAAACTGAATTCTTACCCTAAACCTCTTGCTATAGTTCCTACATCTGTAGAATCTGATTTTCGCATATCTGTACTTTCTTCATCAGATTCCTTGTTTAAAGCTGTATTACTGAAAGGGAAAAAATACATAAAAGCAAAATAATAAGCACACTGGTAATAAATTTTGCACAGCTAAATATAATCTATAAACATAGAATTCATAACAAATCAGAGCTCTCTCTCAGAAGAATTTGAGGGTTAATTGTTTTTTATGTAAAACTATGTTTAAATTTAACACCAAGATTGGTGTGAGACAGTATTGTATGTTTACGTTATAGATTAGGTAATGAGATAAATGATACTGAATAAATTGACCATAATCAAGACAATTAAGACACTGACTGGCATTTGTTATAATCTCCTAAACTTGATGAAAGAGGGGGCTTGAAAGGCTAGCTGATGTTGTCTGACTGGGGTAGAAATGGAAGAAAATATTAAGATAATAAAATCATGAGGAAATACCATGAAGATAAATAGAAACAAAATTTAAAAAAAATTCTTTTAATAACTTAGATGACACAGCATGCAACGAAATGAAGAGGAGGAATTGTTGACATTTAATGTCAACAATCATCAAAGCTGAAAATGCCTCCAGGATACTATAAAATATAGAATGCCTATAAAATATACAATTAATAAAGTTAATGGTTTTCAACTGCAAAATTAGTTTTATTACATAAATCAGAAGTTTTACATTAATAAAAGAACAAGGAAATTCCTAAACTCTTTCCAATCCAAGTATCTCAGCTATGATAAATTTGGATGAGACAGATATTAATTCAATAACATTAATAATGCTGAAATCCTACTCTGATATTTTTTACAATCACTGAATTATTGAGTATCTAGACAATGGAAAATTTACTTACTCATTAAATGAATTGCTTACAGTATTAATTAATTTATATATACAAGGGCAATCCCCCCAAAAAAATCTAGATTTTTAGATATACAAAGAACCGTTTATTTTCTATAATTG